CTCAGAATTGCAGGGCAGGGCAGGGCAGGGCTGTGGTGGTACCTGGGGTCTCCACTCTCTGGTAGTGGTAGGGGTTGACACACACTTCGTCCTTCTTCATGTTGAAGGCGAACTCGCACATCTCCATGGCGCGCAGCTCGTGGTGGCTGTGCAGGTCGGGCCAGCGCCACAGCCGGCAGTAGATGACGTGGGGGAGGCCCTTCCTGTGGGACACCTGCAGCCTCCCATCCAGGGACCTGCACAGGGACACAGGGACGGGTGGGTGGGGAGCCTGGAATTACGGCAGGGACACGGGGGTGGCTCTGTCCTGGCACGGTCACCGAGCCCTGGTACTGTCACCAGCGCTCGGCGCTGCCAGGAGGTTCCTGCTCGTCTTCAGAGCAAGGATTTAACTCCAAAAGCAGTGAAGTCGTGGAATGATTTTATATATTCCAGCCTGGTTTGGGTTGGAAGGACTTTGGAGCCCGTCCTTTTCCACTCCCTGCCATGGCAGGGACACCTCCCACTGTCCCCAATGTCCAGCCTGGCCTTGGGCACTGCCAGGGATACAGGAGCAGCCACAGCTGCTCTGGGAATTCCATCCCAGCCCTGCCCACCCTCCCAGGGAACAATTCCTGCCCAATTTCCCATCTAATCCCACCCTCCTTTTAGTCTGAAGCCATTCCTTGTGTCCTGTCCCTCCATCCCTTGCCCCTCTCCAGTTCTCCTTTCAGCACTGGATGAAGCATCCACAACAAATAATATTTGTTCCATACAACAGCTCTGCTCTGAATTTACTTCTGGATATCTGGATTTTTCAATTTTTTCTTTACTATTTTATGGTTGATCAGGAGGCAGAGACAGAAACTACAGCCAGTAAAAACACAACAATTCAGTGGTACTCCTTAAACACTAAGGTGTCCTAAACAAGCAGGGTTTGCTCAGCTCTCAAACATCTCTGCTGTGCTTGGAAAGGTGTTACATCTTCAAATGTAAACACAGATAGAAGAATTTTCATTGGGATAAAGCCAATATAGATACCTTTTATGTAAATTTATCTACTATGTCTATATAAAGTTCAGGAACCTTACAAACAACCCAGTTCATTTTCCAAGCTGCAGCTTGAAAGCAAATATTGAGAGTTTTTATAGCACTGCTTATTTTTATTTTTACATCTACCCTCCAGCTCATTTTTCACCCAGTCCCATCCTCTTCCCAGCAAACCTTCCTGGGAAGCAGGACAAGAGTTTTCAACTCCTCTGCAGCAGAGGAAAAATCTGGAGCAGGGTCTCCTCCATCCTGGATGAATGGGAGCTGCTCCCAGGCACTTCCTTTGAAGTCTAACCCTTCATTTCCTTCCCTGTTCCTAATGGCCCAAATGAAACATTTCAGGGCTTTGGTGAAATGAAATATTTCTCTTTTTTAATTCGTCAAGGAGAGAAAAAAAATAAAGAAAATTGAAATTTTACTCGGAATTATTCCCCTTTGGTTCTTTGTCTTGGCAGCCGAGTTAGAAAAAACAAAGTGAGCCCAAAGCAAAACACACAAACAATTATTCCAAAGAGGTTGGGCTCATCTTGGCTGCCCTAAAAGAGTTTTCCCAAAAGTTCCTCTGGCAGAGCTTGGTACCACACACACCTTTGCAAACACTGCTACAACAACAGGGAAGGCAAAACACAACTGATTCCAGCCAAAATTGGGGAATATCCCCAAGGAATATTCTGAGCTTCTGGAGAAATTGGGAATTTTGGTGTTGATTTCATTGGAGCCAAGACTGGAGTGATGTGACCTCAAAAACTAATCAAGTTGGAAAAATTTAAAAAAAAATAAAAAAAAAAAGAAAATATTCACTGAGTTTAGCAAAAAGAGATGGGACAAGGAATAAACCAGGAGTGCTTCTCCATTCCCCTACCTTTGCCTGCTTGGCAGCATATCCTGCATCCAAGAGAAGAAAAAAAGAGAAAAAAAAGAAGACTCAGAGAGAACATTTTCTCTGAATGTGGGAAATGTTATTCCTGCTCCTCCCAGTCTCCACCAGCACGTGGACATGGTGGATTTGGCTTGAGCAGCTGAGGTGGGGCATTAACACAAAATGTGTTTGACTTTGGGGTTATTTCCAAGGATGGGGCTCTCCCTACATTCCCCAACAACAAAATTCCCAAAGGGCTCCTCCTGCCATCACCCCAGGCTGTGCCCACAGCACACAAAGAGCTGGAATTCTCTGCACTCTTATCTAAAAAGAGACTTTTTTTACAATGACAGAGCCATCTGGTTTATTTTCAAATCCAGCATCCTCCCCCTCTCCCCTCTATAAGAGATAAGGTAAAAGCAATGATTTTTTTTCCCCAAAGCCCTGGGGGTTTCATTGGGTTTTTCTGGTTGGGAAATCTCACCTCAGGTTCCACATTGAGGGATTTGGGACAAAACTGAGAACAAGGGCAGCTCCACTTCCTCCTGCCCCAAAACTCCTGGAGCATTTTCCTCAGCCCTCGAGGAATATTTTCTCCCAAGGAACAAAACTCCTGGTGGGATGGGACAGGAGCTGAGAGGAGCCAACCCTGCTCTGCTCAGGGCAGCCCAGGGGTGACCCCAGCGTGTGTCCCATGGGCAAAACCATCCCATAATAAACTCCAGGGCACACAAACCTTCTCCTGGTCCTGCTCTGAAGCACAGGCTGATCCCAAACCATCCTAAAGCTCAGCACATGCATTAGGCTTCATGAAAATGAATCCCAAATTTCCCCTGGGATGCTGAATTGTTCCTCCCTTTTACCTTTCCTTGAACCAGCCTGGGCTGAGCAGCTCTCCCTGTACAACTGCCTCCATACATTTATTATTCCACAGTATTCAACAGCATTTCTTTTGAAATTACCAATTTCTTTTTTTTTTTTCCCCAAATTTTAGTAGAGTTGTTCTCTAAAAAAGCAGCTATTTTGTCATCCAAATATTCCTACACCGCATGAAGTCCTTGAGAACCAAAACCCACCTTTAGGATGGATCCATCCTTAAAAGCCATTTCCTAGGGATATTTATCACACCAAGCTGCCTCTCCAAAGCCAAATTCTGCTCAGAGAGCAAAAGGCAATGGTGAGGCTTTAATGGCAAAACCAGAGAGGGGAGGGAAAAAAAAAATGACAGAAACATCGAAGCTTTATTTTTAAACAATCTGTCTGAATTAAACAGGAGAACATTGCACAACCTGAATTTGATTTCCAGGCCTGATTGGAGTTTTTTTTTTTTTCCTGCTTGTTTGGGGTTTGTTTTTGTTGGGGTTTTTCTGTTGGGTTTGTTTTGTGGTTGCTTTTTTTAACCGTATTTAATTTGTAAGATCCTGGATTGCGAAACACAAAAAACCCACCCCACGTTCTGAAAGGTTTTGGTTATTTTATTTGTTCCTCTTTGAGCATTTTTGCAGCTATCTTTAGATGGATACTGAAACTCTTCCTTGCACCAATTCTCCTGCTTTAAAAGCAAAGCTGAAATCAGGGGGTGCAAAAACCAGGAGTGCAAATTAAGGAAAGCGATCTAAGCAATCAAGGTTGGAAAAATTCAGATTTACTCCATTAGAGATCCAATCCCTTCCCCATCAGTTTTATATCCCTGTCATAAATCTTGCAAAAGAGCAAAATGCCTGAAAAACTCAAATATCCAGTAACACCAACATGTGCAAAAAGGCAGAAGGAAAAAAAAAGAAAAACCAACAGGAAAAAAAAAATGAAATTATTCATTTAAAAAACCACGAGCAGGAGCTGGTTTGTAAACCCATGACTAATAAGTTGCCAGTTGCTCAAAAACTCACCAAGAACTGTGGCCACAGGCTGTGATTTTCTCCTGAACACAAAACATGGTAAGTAGTTCCTTACAGGCCCTGCATCTGGGCTACAGAAGGAAAATTAGCATTTATTCTTGTAGCAAAATCTGGCATTTGTGTGCAGAGCTCTGTAATATCCACAGGGCTTCACTGAGCAGTTGGATAAAATCTCAACTTTCCCTCAACAGCAGCCAAATCAACGAAAGGGAATTAAAAAAAAAAAAAAAAAATTGACCCACACAGCACATTTGTAAGTCCAAAGCTGATCCTTTGCCATCTCCTTCCCCTCAATTTGCTCAGAAATTTTCCAATTTCTGGGGCACTTTTAACAGTGCTGTCATTCAAGGTCTGGAAATAGAAATTCCCTGTGTCAAGCTGAGGTTTGCAATGCACTGCCAGAAAGGAAACTAATAATTAACACTCCTGTTTAAAAATGTATAGAAGAGTAAAATAATTAAAAAATGTGTAATTTATCAACATCTCTCCATAGAAAGGGAAAGTTTTGACAATCTTGAAATGAATGGAGTTAAAGGATTTTCCCCAAGCAAAAAGAGAAGTTTGTGGCAGAGCCAAGGGCAGGAGAGAAGAATGAATCTGTCCCTCACTACTGGCAATGATCACCCCTATTTTGTGCTGCTACCTCTCTCATCTGGTTTTTTTTCTTCCCACTAAAATCCTCTTTAGGATTTGGGAGGAAACCACACATCCTTTACAAAACAACCCACAGCACCAGGTAAAGATTTTAAAGGTAAAGAGAAATTCACGTTTTTCTTCTGGTGCTGCAGAATTCCTCTGCTCAAGCCTCAGTTTGCAAAGGAGCTGCTAAAAGCAAAATTCTCAATATCTCTGGTGGAAATTATTTTTTACCTGCCTTTTTCCATCCCAGTCTTTGCAGCCTCCCCTTCCCCCCTCCTCTCCAGCCCTGGGAGTTGATGTCAGGATCAGATTATGACAGCATGAGTCATTTATTAAGATTCCAGTAAGCTCTTTAGCAGGTGCCTTGAGACCGTATTTTTCAGAGTCTAATTTCACATTCAGACATAAGTACATTTTATTGGTTTACCATAAACTCTCTGCCCATTGTTGCCTCTCTCACCCTCTGCTGCTCCAGGATCCACAGAGCCCTTTCCACTCCCAGTTTAATTCAGATTTCTTTAAAGCTGTGGAAATATCTCATTTTCTCATATATCATCAACTATTTTTTCTCCTGTATTTTTTACTGATCTCTGTTATTTACACCCCTTCTGTTTCTGTCCCAGCTACAGGATTATTGGTTGGTGGCTACCAAATCCAGCTCCCTCTCCTCTATTTTTAGCCATTTTGTAATTTTATGCCCCTCCATTTCTTTCAGCTCCTCCTTTTCCTGATAGCCAGGAGCACAGCAAACAAATAAAATCCTCCAGACACCCAAGAACACACACCCTCCTAGCCCAGAAAGGACAGAATATATCCTAATGTTTAATTAAGGCTTAATCATAAACCCACTTCCAAACTTCCTAATATACACTTCGATATTTCTGCCTTTTCTCTACAGAAAATGATGGGGAGAAATGGAATTTGAGGCTGTTTTTTTTTTTTTAAGATAATTGCATCCCTGGTACCTCTAAATGTGAAACCCAGTTTTTCTGAGCAGACCTGGTCCTTTATTTATTTCAGCAAAGTTGATTGGCTCAAATCTGTGTCAGACTCATAGAAATTTATTTGTGCTTGAGCCTTAAGGGTGCAGGGAGTGGACACAGGAGAGATTTCTGAACGTGTCTTTTTGAAAAGCCATTTATCAGAGCTCGTCATTTCTTCCCAGAATCCCAGATTTAACTCCAAAGCTGAAATCCAAAAACCCAACACACTTTCATCCAAGAAAAGCAGCAACTTCCCCTCTTCCCAGGGGATTCCAGGCATCCGTGTGCTTGGATGGGCAGGGCACTTTCATCAGGACAAAAGGGATGGATGGAAATGCCAAGGAAATTCAGATTATCTTCCATAACCCTGAGTGCATCCAAAACAAAAGCATTTCAAGGAAGACTGGATTATTGGAGCACAAAAGGAAGAAAAAAGGCAAAAAAAAGCTGCTGTAAAACTCAAGTTATTCTGTCAGCCTCCACGGTACTTAACACTGATTTACATTTAATATCTAGTTTCTATGTGCATCTTCTTGATGCTGTAGGGAAAAAAAAAAAAAGTTCCTATTTTCACTGAAATCGAGAGAGAGTTCTACAAATCATCATCAGCTGTTGATATAACCCAGATAAACCAGAGCAAGAGGACCCAGGAAAGAAAGGAGAAAGAAACTTGTGCTTCACAGTGTTTGGACAGAAGCCTCACACCAAGAACTGCTGCCCCAAATATGTGTGTGCTAACAAAAACAAAAGGCATTATCAGAGGGAGTGTGGAAAAATGACATTTTTAAGACCTTGGGCCTCCACTTCACAATAAATACAATTCCCAGTGCCTTCAACAGAACCTTCATATAAATACCAGAGTCAGAACTGGCTCCTCAGACAAATGTTTGTGCATTCTATCAAGTTGGGACAAAGCCAACATTTCTTATGGAAACATTTCTGGTGGTCCTGGACAAAGAACATGTTTACTTTATAGCAGATATAGCTAAAAATACATTGTGCTCCAGCCTCCAATTATCTTGTTTGGAATAGTTTGAGGCTACTCGAGGTTCGTTGCTGTTATTTTCTTTATTATACAGTGAAAATGTTGCTGCTTTTCCTGTAATTTGAAAAGCAGCTATTTCCAGGTTTGCCCATCTGTGTTTGGACCTCCCCCGCATGGATAATGAGATCCAGGGTGAAATTTTCCAGAGTTCCCATCTCCCATTTTCAAAAGCAGCTGAAGGCAGAGATCAATGCTCTGCTGGAATTACAGAGGCCTTTTTTCCCTCCATGCCACTGGCTCTGTGTTCCATTGCTTTTCAAGCTGGGTTAGCAGCCACTCAAATATGTAATTATTTGCACAACCAGTAGCAATTAACAGCACACCACAAACAAGGGGAGCTGGTCCCACAAACTTCCTCCAGCCCCTCCTCAGGGATGTCCTTTGGGATCCATCCCACACGTGCTCAGATGAGGGGATTTGGTCTCCCTTTAAATAAAACCCAGTTGGTTACAAAAAAAAAAACAAACAAAAAACCCAAAACTTTCTGGGTTCCTTTATCAGCCTCTCCCCTTTTTCCCAAAGAATTATTTCTCCACCTCTCCATTCCAAAGGAGCTTTCCCAGCTCCAGCATGGCAGTGAATCAGTTGTGGGTGAATCATTTCCCATGTGCAGATTCCCACAGGCTTTCCCCCCTAATCCTGATGACACAGAATGACCCAAACAAACCCTGGAGTTTCCACCAGGAGTTTTTCCACCAGGACTTAACACAAAGGTGTGTGCTAAAGTGAAAAGGGGATTGGAAGAAGGCTTTTAATTAATTTGATATTATTTTTACATTCTTATTTTATTAATTTTAGTTAATTTTACAATTCTGAGCTCGTGAGTCACAAGTGCAGGAGAAATGCAGCCCCAAAAGAGCAGGATGTCTCCAGGGAGCACTGCAGATTTCAGATGAAATGGCTCATTAAAAGCTCAAACCAGTTAATATTTTACAGTCTCTTCTCTCTGTAAATACCAGTGAAATCAGAGCCCGGGTGTGTTTGGAGGAAGCACTTTGTAAACTCCTCTTTCTCATAATCAGCTTTTACAACACCTCTCAGGAGGCTCAGGGCAGATAGGAGGTGATGCTGCTTTTGGGATTATTATTCTGATTTGGGAGCTGGTTCTGTACAATAAAAAAAAAAGTTCTTTGGACCAGAGAGGTGGTAAAAATTTCAGCTGAAATATTTTTTTTTCCCCCCACCTCAAACTCTTAGCAGCAAAAAGGAAATTGTGTATGGGGCCCACCTGAGAGTTTCCTTTCTTCCTGTGATTCTCCAGAGCAGGGGCAAGGGTTGTTTTCAGGCTGCAGCAGAAGTCACTCCCTCTGCCACCCCCTCCAGCCAAGATAATTATCTTATTCATGGAAGCCAAATTCTACCTCCCTAAATTACAGATTATGTTAAAAAAAAAAAAAAAAACAACTGAAAAACTTTGAGAAAAGGAAGGGGAAGAATTTCTTATCTTCCCCATGCTGCAAGACACAAGGAATTCTCTGCTTACCAAAAATGTGATTTTTCCAGGGTGTTGCTGTCTGGATGCACCATTTCCCTCTCTCCTTCACTCTTCCCTGCCCTGGTGCTCCAGGAGTGAGGATGTCTAATTCCAAAGAGCTCTGACTAATGCAGGATGTGTGGGAGAGCAGCTCCATGAATAAGAGCTCTCCAAAGCACCAGGATCACGCTAAGTCACTCTTATCACCCAAACAGGATCTCCAGAATGTGTGTGTGTGTGTGTTCCTGTGAGGGTTTGGTCATTGCTATTGCTCCCTGGAAATCCAGCTGGGGTGACAGAAAATGCAGCAGGAAAAAGCAAGTGGTTGAAATCAACATAAATATCTTATTTTTATGTAAATGTCAGTAGCAATAAAATCTTGACGCAAGAAGTGATTAAAGAACAGTCCAAGAAAAAAAAAACAAAAAACCCCAGCATGAAAACAGGTCACCTTTCAACCACCACAGGACACAGAACTGTTCCCAAATGAGATGTTTTTCAAAAGTTTTCCATGAGGTGTCCATTACGAACAGCTGAAAATATCAACTGCATCCAAACTCACATTTAAGGAACAGAGAGCCATTTCAGATACCTTTCCTGTTGTCAGCTCCCCCTTCCCTCCCTCCTAACTCCAAAGAATATTTGATATTCACGTCCTGGGAACCTCACTGGATAAATGCTTAAACATTGAGCTTGAACCAGATCTGGAGTTTGCCAAGGAGAGGGAATGAGGAGGGAAGCAGAGCCACAGGTAAATATTAGTTTGTACTTGAAAAAAAGAAGAGCACATTTTAAAGCTGCTTTTGATTTTCATCGACCTCACATCGTCCTCTGTCAACCACTGGAATGCCAAGGTGACACAGGGAGGACAAGCACCTGGTGTCTCTGGCAGCTGCTCCAGGGGGGACAGTGACACAGCCAGGCAAATGATGGGAAATGGCCATGAGAATTCCAGAAACAAGGCATGTTTTTTCTTCCTAATTTCCTTTCTGGCCCCTCCTGGCTGGTGCCAGGCACTCAGGAGGTGGGCTGGGCTCTGTGTGTGGTTCTGGCACTTTCCAAAGGGGCAGGGAATGCTTTTTGGGAATGCTCTCCTCCTCCCTGCCCCCACACAGGCCTCACACCTTCCTGGGCAATAATGCCACATAAAGGCTGGAAATTCTTGGAAGCCACAGGAGAGATCCCACCTGTCCTGAAGCAGGAGCCCAACACCCTCTGCTGTGCCCTGAATGGGAATCCAGAGAACAATAAACAATTCTTTCAAATCCTTCAGTGTTTTCAGCATTCTGCAAGTGCACAAATAGATCTGTTCATCTCTGTGGTGCAGCCAGGAGGAGAGGGACCCCAAAACTCTGTGTGACAGCCAACATCAACATCCCAGCACTGTGATGTCACCATAGACCCACACCAACATCCCAGCACTGTGATGTCACCATGACACCAACACCACCATCCCAGCACTCTGATGTCACCATGAGACCAACACCAACATCCCAGCACTGTGATGTCACCATGGCACCCACACCAACATCCCAGCACTCTGATGTCACCATGGCACCACCACCACCATCCCAGCACTGTGATGTCACCATGACACCAACACCACCATCCCAGCACTGTGATGTCACCATGACACCAACGCCAACATCCCAGCACTGTGATGTCACCATGACACCAACACCAACATCCCAGCACTGTGATGTCACCATGACACCAACGCCAACATCCCAGCACTCTGATGTCACCATGACACCAACGCCAACATCCCAGCACTGTGATGTCACCATGACACCAACACGAACATCCCAGCACTCTGATGTCACCATGACACCAACACCACCATCCCAGCACTCTGATGTCACCATGGCACCCACACCACCATCCCAGCACTGTGATGTCACCATGACACCACCACTGCTTGCTCCAAATCAAAGTTCTGGGGAAGTTCTGAGCAAGCCAGAATCACTCTGCAGATGAAATGCAGACAGGAGACCCAGGAGCACCTCCCAGCTCCTCTAAACCAACACAATGAGGCACAGAGGGGTAACTCTCAATTATGGCCTTTTTCTGTCTCCTCTGGAGCACAAAATTCACTTGCTGGGTGCCTGGTGACTCAGAGAACAGAGGGATTTCCACTGAATCATCCACATGGTTTTAAGCACCCTCCAGGTTGTGTTGATGGGAGATGTCTCACTACCTACACCTTCCCTA